TGATACGTAACATCACCGCACTTTTTTTTGCCTCCCCCCCAGAAAACAACCACCAGGCACACAGTGAGCTGATAGCAACAAAGATGACAACTTACGAGCAGCTGACAGCACACGCAGCCCAGTCACCGCTCCGCAGCCCGTTCCAAGAGCCCCGATACAAAGCAGGGATGGCAGGCAGAACTATTCACCTGCCTCTGCCACGTGGGAGCTCCTTCCCAACTGCTCTTGCAGTTGAATTCCAAAGCAGCAAGCAACCTCCTCAGCCGATATCTTTTGTCCTCTAGTTTTTAAAGAGATGGGTACTTAACTAAAGCACTTCCTCTGGCTGTAGTAAGGAGAGTGACCTTGTTTGACAATGCCCGAACTAGCTGTTGTTCAGAATGAGAACACAGCACTTGCTCTCAGCCACTTCTCATTAGCCTCTGGGAAGCAAGGGAATGGCTCTTGTGAGACTGAAGATATGAAAACATTGAGATCTCTTGAATCAGAGGAGCCTCCCCGCATGCATGCCAGCTTGGAATTAGTCGGTAAAATCCAAACGATCTTATTTGCTCTAATTAAGACAAACAGCACATCAAGACAATTTGACTCCTGCATAAACAGTGCTTTGAGATGCCACAGTTCCTCTCCCACCTTTTGAAGTCTGTTTCAAGCACTGACAGTCCCGAAGCATGCCACAGTGCCCCCTTAGGTGCAGATGCATCCACATGAGGTTGTTCCTAGCATGGTAATGCTTTTTGCTGTTGCTGTTTTAACAGGCTATCATTTATCTGACAAAGTACAGATTTTTACCCTACACGTATGAATAAACGAGCACGACGTTGGTCCTGGGGCAGCACACTGGTTAAATGAATCAGAAAGCCCTGAAAAAATTGCCTACCCCCAGCCCATCAGCTACTGGACAATTATTCAAGGCCCAGCTGTAACAAAAACAGATGGTGAGTGAGCATTAGTAATGTGGACATCTTTTCACTCACGCAGTCATAAGCAGAGGTTGTATGTTCTCACATGAAAATTGCCATGAAACAGCAGACTGAGAAAAAAGGTGCAAAGACTCCAATCTGCAAGCTAACAGATGCCTTAAATTTTCACAAACTTAAGACAGGTTAACAGAATTTACAAGAGAGAAGCAGTAAGCAAATAATATAAGCGGACTAGGTGAAGAAAAGCAGTATATGCACGATATGTTGGAACAGTGACATCAGAAACCATCAGTTGCTGCACGCAACTAAAGGAGCTGGTCCTTTAAAGGCTCACTAAAGTGAAGCATGCCAGAGATGCACGCAGAGCTACCACTGCGATGGTGGCATTCAGCAGCTGATGTGCCTGTCTCTGTAAAAATGGCAAACCGTATCCAGAGATCGTTCATCCATTTTAATTCTTGATGCAATTTTAGCACAAAGATTATCTGTTCTAATCCTTTTTCCATTATTGACACTATTGACTACATCAATTGAAAATGCTATCAAATAAATCAACGTTGAATTAAGCCATGAAGAAAGAATGTGATAAGAAGTCCTTCAGATTCCTATAAATCATCAGATCCAGAAGCATGACATGAGTAACCGAGTGGGGAATTCAGCTTTTCTCTGTAGTCGTAATGCTTAAGGCCCAAATAAAATTACACTAATTTACCATGTAAGCGCTAATAGAATAACTGGAGTAGAGATGGAGACTTTGTTGAGTTTCATTTTGTTTTCATGGTGGATTTTTTTTTTTTTTTTTATATCATTGATATAAGAGCTGTACCGTGAACCACTTTCTTGTTAAAGACAGAAAAGGTTGATATTGAAGTTTCAGTTCAATTGTTTTCGATCTATGAACGTCCACTATGAGCAATTGCTCCATTTAAAAGGAATTACCCTTTGTACAAACCGCTTCACTATTTAAAATAAACCACATGTATCATCATTATAAAGAAAAAACTACCATTTTTAAAATAACGACAGCCACACTGTACACTGATATGGAATATTGTGTGATGTTTCAAAAAAACATAGGTTGTTGTCACTTTATCCAGAAAATGCCAAATAAATAACCGTATTTCCTGGTAAACGTATGTCACAGGGAAATGTAAGCTAACACAACTACACCTCCATTAACATACACTAAATCTCAATTTACAGACAAAGTTTTGCTGCAAAAATTCGTTTGCACTAACATTTAATATAAGCTTGAGATCAGTGAAAGAATTCCTTTCACTGGTGTTTAATTAAGGAGAAGATAAGAAAAAAGATCAATTTAGCAGGTGCTAACACTGTACAGTATTATAAAATTATGGGGTACCCCACTAATCTGAGCTCCTTTTCTCTGCGCCTTTAAATACTGGCACTGGGTAAAATACTAAGCCAAATGTATCTATACTTTTCCATTTGTCCCTGCCTTTAAAATGACAAGAATAATAACTAAATTTTATTCTCCTCCTGTTCATTGCTGCCATGGACACAGTCATTTGGGTTTTAATGTGGTTGATAACTCTTAAGGTTTCTGAAGTTGGACTTTAAGATGCTTCTAGGTTATTTCAGACAATTTTAAGTAGCTTAACTAAGTCAGAAACATCCTTCAGGTTTTATTGGCTTTTTCAAATGAATATTTTATTGGCAGTTAACTCAGAATGTGAACTAGGCCTCGATACTTCATTTATTTTCAACTTCATTATCAACAGTTAAGCTTTGAATGTCTTGAGTGAACTGCACAAACTGCTCTTAAAAAAAAATCAGCTCAGACATCTCTTAAAACATTATGCAGATGTGTAATCTGGAAGGTATCAGGGCAAACAGTTTTTCACACTGGACAAAGTAATAAAGCATTTCTGTGGGTCCAGCTTGGAGAAAGAGTTTATTCATTTATATTAAATAGACTGCCACAGTGGTGTTAGTTCTGCAAATAAATAATGGCCAATGTTAAACAACTACCAACACATTTGCTATTTTCCCCTCTCAGATAATTAATGCATGCTCCCAGAACACAGCCATCCTCGTGGCAACAGACGTGCACTGCGAGAAGGACTGGTGTGCCCATCTTGATATAGGAATGTAACGCCTCAGTCTTGCACAAAAGATGCATCTCCAATTATACAACTTCAGTAGAGCAGAACACTAACAAATTTTGCAGATCCACTTGAGAAGAGGATCTATGAGAAATCGTGTTTAATAAATACACACTAGAGTTTAACAACAGAGAGCCCTTTTGAAATAAAGATGCCTGACTTCATTTTAACTGAGGTGCAAGCGAGCAGATGTATCTGAAGTGTAATTTGGGAAGAAAAAAAATATTTGACTGAACAGGTTTCACAGAAGGTCTGTATAGTTGCTGCTGATGGGGTCCACAGGTGGAGGGGAATCACTGATCACAAAGTTGCCAGACAAACCTTTCAGGTTACCAGTAGTTAAGATCAATAGATAACTTCATAGCAGTGAGAAAATTCACTCTCACTGAAATAGTTTTATGTTCACTATACATACAAAAAATATAGTGATATTTTTGTGTTTGCTAGAAAATGAGCAGGAGAGAGGAAAAAATAGATTGTCATGGTAAAAGTTTATTAATGTTTTTCCAAAAATACGAAGCACTTTTTACCCTTAACTCTTTCAAACCAGAACGAATATGTTATGTTTAGGTTAAGTAACCTATAGTTCTGATGAAATACTTCAACAAATACATAAAATAACTATGAAATACATGAAATAATAAATCACAGATGAGTTAAGACAATAATTATGTGACTTTCTAGGAACCCAGGAGAAGTGAAAGCCATCAGCAATCAAAAGGAGCAACAAGCACAGCATTTTGATCCAGGCACAATTATCAGCAGGAATTCAGGTGAATTTCTAACATGTCTAATTGTGATTACTCCAGGCTGAATGTTTCTGAACTGACAATGGGATTAAGCAGAGCAGAAAGCCAGCACTTCAATAAAAAAATTACTTTCAGTGTAGCAGTTAATCCACTTAAAGAGTTAAAAATTATCGTGTAGATATAGCACTTTGTAAAAGTGCATTAGCAATCACTTCTCATCTTTCTCTCAAATGGAATGGATGGAGTTGAATTCACTATTTTAGAGGAATCATTATGGTTGCACAGTTTCTTAAACCTTAAAGCAGTACCACACCAGAGATGTGTTTGCATAATGATACGGCAATAGCTTACACAGGAAGATTATTACAGCACCCAACCTCATCGTTGGGTTATCTTGTATCAGCTCCTTGTGTGGCCATGTTGACCTCTCACCTTCATTCACGTTTTTCCTTTCAAAAGCCGCATCAAACATTCCAACAGCGTTCACGTTGCTGTTTGGCAAACTCAGAGCAACAATCCCAGCAAAATACAGGGGGACATTCTGTATGCAACCAGTAAGCACAAGTCCCGCTGCACCATTAAAGCTGATCTATGTCGTTTCCAAAATGTATCCAGAACACAGAATATACATTTTAGTTATGTTTAAAAAAAAAAAAAAAATCAAAATTCAATACATTATATTTATCTTCCATGAATTTTAATTGCAGACATACCCCTCCTGCATATATGGATATATGCAATAACCTTTTTATTATACACTCCAAGGAGCAAGTCAGAAATGGTTTTATACTGCACTACTGAATAAAAAAAAGCTACAAAAGGGTTTACACTCCCAAATACTTGAGTTCTATTCTTTCAGCAGTATCAAAAAGCACAGATGGCGGAAAAACAAAAGCTTCTCGTCTATTTCATTTAATCTTTAGGAAAAGACATACTGTAAAGAAATAATGTAAAAAAAAAAAATCTTCCAGGCATTTGTAAATACAGAAATAAAGTTAGAGACTGCCTCACAGAAGTCAACATGCATATAAACTATTGTAATGGAAGTTGGAAGGGCTCACAGGCATTTCTTACAGTGAGAAAAAAAATATTTCCCTGAAGTTTCAACAGAAAGTAACAGGAAAAAAAAAAAAAAAAACCCACAACCACAGGATTCATCATTTTTGCTTCAAAACATATCTGTGCTGACTCTCCACACCTACCAGATGACTCCCTTTAACCGAGACTGCCGTGGAGAAGCAGCATACAATGAGGATCCCAAACTCCTAGTTTAAATAATAATGTGGTATTATGACATCAAATAAATAGCAGGATAACAGAGAGCTGTTAACAACTGGTAAGCAATTGGGGGAGGGGGAGGGGTGGGAATACTTAAAAAAAAAAATAAAAAAAAACAATCAAAACAGAAGAAATATGACAGCAAATGAATTTTTTAAAAAAATCTCTTAATAATCTTTTAGAAATTGGTATCATTTTGCTGATTTCAAAACATCTTTCTAAACCCATTCCAGTATACTTGGTGACAGGAGTATTTTAATTCTGCATAGACACAGCTTTCTATATTTTTTAATGACTAAAAATCAGCTTGATTTCAATCAGCAGCATGTTTCAACGCAGACTTAAAATTTCTGGCTTCAAAGAAGGCTTAAACAAAATTGCCATCGGGCACATTTACATTAGAAGTATAATTTATGCCTGCAAGTGAAAAAAAGAGCAGTCCTTCATGGCTGAAACTCTGCTACAGTATCCACGAGAAATGCAGTCAGAGTACCGTGTTAAATGCCTACGAACAGCATCAATAAAGACACTGTAAAAAAATATTAAAGATATGCAGAGGCTTGAGTCTCTATTAAAACATTTTCTGCTCCCTCTCCCCATTCCTAAGAGCAAGCACGATATTCACTCCACACAGTGGGAGACATTTATACAGTCGATCCACACAAAAAATAGCTTCACGATTACAAATCCCCCGAACAATGCTGACAAAGCAGGCACTATAGGAAAAGAAAGTTGAGCAAACTTACCTGCTGTAAGTACATAAAAGTCAAGGCACAGGAGAGCTGGGGACACATGCCCACATTCGGCAGTGCCACGCAGGTTGCACCCGTAAGGGGATGCTGCATGGTGTTGCTCTGAAGTCTACGTAGAATAAGTGAGGGGGCTTGCATGCAAGCACGTTTGCCCTATCTTGTCACTACAGTTTTTTTCCTTCTGATTATTTAAGTAAGGAAACAGTCTTTCTTCACTGCCTTCCTCTCCCCCAGCGCTAGATCCCTACATTCATTTGTCAGCTAAGGCAACTTGGTAGATTTAAACTACGGATTTTTAACAGGGAGGAAAAAAAAGAAGACACAGCCTGCAGCCTATTGATGAGCAAATGGAACTTCCTCAATGACAGAGAGCTGAAGCTTGTCTCACAACAGTAGCTGCTGACTAGTCGAGAGCGAGATTGACTCGGGGAGGCTCGGTCGGCTGGTGCTGATGCTGCACAGCTTCTCATTTGTCAAATGGGTCCTAGGGCAGGGTCTTTACCACTCACCAAAATTCAAATACTGCATTTTAAAAATCCCTGGAGAGGATAGGGAAGGAGAGAAAGTGAACACGCTGCATCGCAGGCAGCCATGAGATCTGGGCAATTAATGTCACTGCCCAGCTGGGACCGGGCGCCTGTTAGGATTCCACACGCACGCAAACACACTCGCACACGTTTTCTCTCCCAGGACCCACACCTGACATGAAAAGGGCTTTCCCGTTCCAAGAACAGGAGTGAGAGGCAAAAAACAGGAAAGGGAGAGAACCTTGGCTAGTCGAGAGGATTCCAGCAAATATACAGTACAATCAGTAAATGAGCTCTCTTTTAATTACACGTTAATTTTATGTCTACTTGTCATTTACCACCCAGTTTCCTAGAGAAACCTATGAAAGCATTACAGAGAAAGTGAAATAGCGGTGTAACCACTGCAGCAGAATCACTGGGAATGAACAAAATGCTGTGGCACGCTGTCTCCCACCGAGGGGGAGGGGAGGGCAGCAGGCGTGGATAAAGACTATCTTAAAATTGGTCTAAACCCCATCTCATCTACAATTACAAATGTAATTGACAGCCAGTCAATCTATTACAAAGAACTGCCCTATTGGGTTACATGAAAAAATTACATTTGCAACTTTCAGAATTTAATGTTTACTTTTTACTTTGAGAGCGATACCTCAAATTAGTATTCTGCTCTCACAGGTTTCAGCCCCCCTGCCTTTATTTTATAGAGTAATAATTATTCATTAGTAGATCTAGTTAGTCTTTATGTAATAAAGTAGGATGTGACCTGCAAATCAAATAATTTATGTTACAACTTGTCCTTGAAGTCCCATATTACAAGTCTTTTCTTCTCTCCTAGATACAAGTCAAGTAAAACAGAAAATACAACTATATTTAATTAGAATGTAACAAATGAATGAAATATCAATTCTGCATGAAAAAAGGTCAAACCTCAAAGCAAAAATCTGAAGTTTTGAAGGAGTTCCTTTTAAAAAGACTCTGCAGAAGCTTTTAAAATTACCTGTTACAGGAGATCTAACTCCCACAAAGCACATCTTACACCAACACTTTCAAATTAATAGCATCCAATAAATAACCCACATAACATCGCAGCCATTCTCAAACACAGTGCGGCTGGCTCAGATTTGAAAACGACCCATAGAAACAAGTGAAAGCCCCCGTTTAACTGGAAACAGACACAAAACATTGCACTGCAACTCAGGCTCTGTATAAAGAAAATAGATTTGTTCATTTTACATGAGCACACACATACCTGCACCCACACAAGCTTCAGAGACTGATTTAGATCCACTCAGCCTTCTTCATGCAAAACCAAAGCTTTTCCAGCAGAATTAGGTATTCTCTTTTTCTTTCTCAAAAGCAGCCAGTGCAACAAAAATAATATATTTCAGACTCAGCAATTAATACTGAGACAACAAATGCCCTAACTTAAAACACAAGCACTGTTTTAGCATAAGAAACATCCATACTTGGCAGTTTATCACAGACTGATCTACCAGAGCAGCCCAGATACAGAACAGCACAAATTACTTTATCACAAAAAAAAAAAAAAAAAGAAAAAAAGAAAAGCGCACCACAGAGAGCAAGACAAAGCAAGAAGGAGAAATGAACTCTCTCTATGCCCTTTCTCCTTTTTTCATTCTTACTCTCTGCCTTAAGCACTCTCCTGTTCTGACAGGAGTATGTCATGCTTTTCTTCATTCTTTTTTTTTTTTTTTTTTTCCTCCAAGCACAGAAAGCCTGTTATTCTGCAAATGCCCTTAGCTGATGGAGTTTTCCCTTCAGCTCATTTTCATATGAAACACCATAAATAATACATGGTACTTTAATAAGACCATATCAGAATGTTTAATGAAAAACAAATACGTTATGTAAGGAGGCAGATAACCAACTCATTCTATATTATGTCAGAATCAAAGGAAACATGCTTTCCAGCCAGTTTGGAACCACATAAATCTATCCAATTTCCCAAAGTGAACTTCTGGAACAGCGTGATGGTGGAGCAACATTTTTTCTGTCTACTGCACTCTTCTACAGTTAAGAGGACATACATAAAACAGATGAAACTCTTAAAAGCAGTGCATTGAACACTTATTTCAAGGCAATCTAGTACTGTAAATGTAGCTAACATTAATTTTAAAATCAAGGTTTTCTTTGATCTTTTATCCTTAATTTTCAAATATTTTGAAGTAAGGGAAAAAAAGCCACAGAATTCCCTAGCCTGGTACGATACACTACTGCAACTGATGTGGAGAAACATCCTTACCACCTTCCATCCCTTCCTTGGATAACTCACCATTTTGTCCACAAGGAAAAAGATATATTTATATGTTTTAAAAAGAAGCACTTGATTTTTATAAAAAATTAAAAAATAAAGCAAATGTCACTTCTCTAAGTTTCTCTGTACATGCTCCTCTACCAAATCCAACGTGGATCAGAACTACATTTGAAGTTACAGCCACATATACACTAAGTACCACCACATTTGCCAAAGGAACATGACTGACCATACACCACCTGCATTTTTAGCCTCATGCCCAGTGACAGGATCACTATCACCACTCTATAACTTTACAGAACAGCACAAGTACCATCAGTATCTCATCTGTACATTATCCACACTTCTTTTTTGCCTTATTCAAAGGGCTGCTAAATCTCCCCCACCCTATACAACATCTCCCAGTTGCTTTGATGGTATTCTGTTGCAATCACACTAAATTCTGTATCTGATTTTGTATTTTAGCCCTCACTGGTAGGTGAAGTACTAATAAACAACAACCACAAACCTTTTTGACGAGCAAAAGGAGGCTACCAATTGACACAACCCAAATCAGCCTGCTAGCATCATCAGAACCCAGCGCACACAGCAAAGGTCACAGGTACGTTCCTACTGCCTGCATCCAGTTGATGCTCAAAAGCTAACGATGCTGTTGGTCAAGCCTGAAAACACAAACATTATATCAAAGCACTTCTGAAGCAAAGCAAAAAGGAGCAACAGCATTTCTCACACACCTAAGTACAAATGCATACTCATTGTTTATTAACAAATGCACTGAAAAAGTGCTCCGTTCACATTCACCAACTCCATTTGTTCTTAGTGTAGCCAACCTCCATTTCTCCAAAATTCCACTACAAAAATTTAACCTCAAGTTTAACTGTTACAGTAATCAGAGCAGACTGCCTCATCAGCCAAACCTTCACTATCAATAGAGAGATCTGAAGGAGGTCACCTGTGAGACCACACATCATTTGCACTTCAGTCTGGTCTCAGCAGTAGCTTATACTAACCAGTGTATGCATACAGGAATGGATACAGGATTATAAGGAGCATACGCCTCCAGACTTCAAGCATTTTAAAAAAAGAAATATTTCAGCAGCACAGTGCATTATCCACGTGATGAATATCTTTTTATTCTCTCGTTTATAAAATGGCTGATGTGGTATAAAAGTGATTCTGGCAAGTAGTTCAGAAGCTAAGAATAGTGCAGTCCTTTCTCTAAACACTCCTTTCCTAACACCCCGTGAAAAATGGTCCCCATGACTTGAGAGCAGGAAAGGAAACACATAGGCTTAGAAATAAAATGCTTCATTAATATATTTTGACAAATTATTAACAACCATCAATAGCTTTGTCTTCCTTTTTCCACGCACTACTCTGCCTCCTTATGTGGTTTTCTTCTAACAAACTATCGGGAAATATCATTGACATTACAATTATTTTTATTTTTCAAAAAGACTAAATCAAAGATTCCCATCTCTTCTTTTCAATTAATGGCTGACAGCTCATACTTCCAGCGATATTATCTTGTCACAAAAAGCTCCAGTTCTATTTTAAGGTTTTGTTCACATTACTCTTAACCAGGTCTGCACAAAGATCAAGACATTGCAGCGGCTCTCATTTACCTCAGGCAAATAAGAACCACTAATTTTCTGTTTCTGTTAAGCACTGTGTTACATCCACTGACTTTGCCAGTATTTCATACTCCATACCTACAAAGGCTATCGCACAGTTAACCTTTTCAGCACCACCTGATATGCATCTTTTTGGCATGCGGTGAGATCTGCATGGATTTTTCACAGCCTAAGGTCAAGAACCATTAGCAATGCCAACGCCTTCACATACAAAAGGAAAAGAAAGGAAGTAACAAAATAAATAAAAGGCACTCATGTGTCGCCTTTTATTTATTAACTTAAAGAGTTAGAGACGGTTCCAAACAGGAGATGCACGTTCTTCCTCTCTGCTCCTGGCCGACGGCTGTTCTCCAGACACCAGGGCAAAGAGGCGGACAGGAGAACAGATGGAGAGGAGACAGCTCTAATACCTGAGCCTGACTTCATTTCGTGCGAGTTTACACTAGCGCAGCGCTCGCAGGTCCCGCGGATTTAGCCGGGTATGGCAGCACACTTGCAGGTCAGCAGCGCAGCCCCGCTCCGCTATACCAGCACCTCCACCTAGCGGGGATGCCGCTCATACCAGCCTGCCCGGCCGGCTGCTCGCACAAAGGCAGCTCTGCTCTCCTTCTCGTGCTGCAACCGAACAAGCCGCGAGGCTCGCATAGTAATTAACTATTTTCCTCCTTTATACGTCATCAGGAGGCTCTTGTCTCAAAAACA